GCCTACCCCTGCTGACGCAGCTCCCCGCCTGACCTTCTCTAACGCCCTCTCTGTAGACCCAGATTTCTGGGGTTAGACGTGAATCCCCTTTCGCCTGAAAATTAATTTCTTATCTCGTTGCTGACCTGAAGCCCATGCGTGAGGTGACAGCCTGTAACACAAAAGCTGGTCGTCCGGGCAGATGCACCTACTTGTCTTCCTTGGACGGCCTGTCCTGCGGGGTCTTGTCATTGACGTGATTGGCCACGTGGCTCAGGTAGTCCCAGACCCCTGCCCTGGCGCCTGTGCCGGAGTCCTGGTGAAGTGGGAACGCTGAAGACAAACAAACCACAAGAAGCAACAGTGAGAGGGGCACTGAACCCTGAACTCTTCCACCTGCCAGCACAACTGGGGGGGGCGCAGTGAGGCTGCCTCACCCCGAGTTTTGTTCACCCACACTGCACCCCTGCGTGAGGCACGTTTCAGCGGTGAGGCCCTGGTGTGCTATCCCAGAAGTCCAGGCTATGAAGGTACATCTCATGGACATAAACATCCATGACGATGGGAGAGGCAGTGTCAACACCCAGGGCAGCATTTATTCTGGCTTGGTGCCCGCAGGTGCCAGCGTGCCAACATTAACCAAAGGCACAGGCCCATCCTGCCCCGCTGGCAGCTCTGGACCAGTTCCTCTACCAGGACTCTGGTCTTCAGACCAAGGGGGGATCATGACAGACTCAGACATTTCGGGACTAGGAGCACAAACCTGCCACAAGGGCCAAGGACAGCGCGAGGACGACAGCTTCTAGGTGCATGGTTTCTTGCGCCCTGCAAAAGAAGCACAGAAATGCCGTTATTATTTGACTCACCGTGACAGCTGATCAAGTCCAGTGGACCTCACGACAGGTTCCCAGAACAGGACCATTGCTTCCGGTCAGGATTCTGACTGATTAACCAGCAAGAGCAGGAGGAAAGCAAAATGATACCGGGGAAGTGAGTTATCTAGAGCTGTAGTTTGAGGAAACCCTGCAGCCTATTACTCGTGCAGCCACGACACAGGAGATCTACACACAGGCACCCACACACACACGAGTGCACAGCAGCCCCAGTGCTTTCATCAAGGGCGTCTCGCGAGGACGCTCACCTCATGCCCAGAGCTGTGAGCGGAGACCTGCGAAAGAGAGGATCAGAGGGCGCACAGAGCTCTTACCTTCCAGATCAGCGGGTGTCAGGACCCAGTCTCCTCCCGCTGAGGCTCTTATAGCGGGACCCGCGCTTATCAGCGGCCGGACTGACCCCAGGCCGCTGTAAACAAGCAGCATGTGGAGGGTCACAGCACGGCCCCGCAGAGACGTCACCCATTGTAGTCAACACAGCCAGGTGGTTTCTTCCACTGAACCTTGATCCCTGCTGTCTACTGTACGGCTGCGTGATCCTCGTATCTGGCAAAACAAGACGAAAGTCTCACGTGACGTTACGTCCGTGCAGGGCAAGACTGACTTATCGCGGCGGATTTTGAGTGTAGCTCCTCGGCGCCCGTATCTTCCCAGATTACACAAAGCTCCGAGCCCTGATACTGCAGGACTCTCCCGGGGACTGGGGTGCTGATTTCGTCTCCGCTGTCTGGAACTCGGGTACTTTGTACTTGACCGCGCCGATGAAGTGCATGGTCACACACACACACAGCCTCTTTCGGTCAGATCCGCTGGTGTGTGGTGAAAGCAGGCACCCGCGCTGCAACCTGGAGACCTTTCACCTGTGATAATCAACCACGTCTCAGATTACACGCATCCGGGACAACATTAGCTGAAATTAGGTCATTAGTCACTTTTGTAGAATTTATTGATCCAACGAGCGAGCTATTGAACCGAGTGGTTCACAGAAAGTCCTAGTTGCCAGTTCTGTGACAGGAGATGCTTTTTTGGAGGAACACGGTCTCTTTCTCCTTCTCGGCATGGTCTGAGTGGAGGGAGAAGGGATGTCCTGTCTTCTTGAAGGGGTCCATTTGCCCCTGGTGTGACTGTACCCCCGCCATCCCCCAGCTTCAGTGTCCAGGTTGCCTGAGCCTCTTCACTGTTGGTTCTTATGGAAGAAACTTCTAGGATGTTTGGGCTTCAGTCTGTTTTCATTCTCAGCACCCGAAAAGAGAGAAGCACTGTCAACGTCACGCAAACCCTCAATGGATGAACAGCAGCGGCTCCCATGATCTCAAGGGGCCCTTTACCCGTGCAGTGAAGGACGTGGCTCCTGCAGACAGGGTTACCTGCCCAGGGTTTTGGTACGACGAGAGGGAGAAGACGCTGGGAGCCAGTCTCTGAGCTGCTCCCCTCCGTCAGCAGATCCATAATCAGATCCTGAACACATCCTCGTCTCCTGACTGCCACCTCTGGGAGTTGGAGGAGCAGATCCAGGAGCAATTATTTGCTTGTCAATGTGGCATCTGTGCTGTTAACTAGTACAACCCTTTCCTGTGCTTTCATAATGTGGGGGTGACAATATTCTTTGCTACCCTATCCACTGCAATATAATATTTTGGAAAAAAGGTGGAGTATGTTTGCGCAGACAGATGTTTCCAGACAACAGGGGTTCTGCGTGTCTGCAGTTGTGAGCCCAGGCACTCGGAGACAGGAAGTGGGGGAAAGTTGAAGAGGATGGAGCAATGGAGGCCCGGTTGTGTAATTGACATGACTAATCGGAAGCTGGCCAAAGTCCTTCCAGTCACCAGGCTGAAAAAAAACTCCCCGCGGCCCAGCCAAAGTCCGTGGATTTAGGGCAATAACAGCAAACAGACAAAATAACTCCACTGCTTTAAAACGTAAGCGCCCTGTTATTGGCCTTCTTCTGTTTACTTTTTTGAAAGTGTCTTCCCGATACTTCAGTACCTCTTTTTAAGGTTTTTGGGGGAAATGTAGAACAGTCCAGACTTTTAATGGCTAAGGTTTTCTGTAGTGAAGAACATCTACTGTGTTTCTGGGAGATAGAAATTATATTCCGTGCAGCCTTGTGTAGAAAATGATGTGGACAAAAGGGTTCTACACATTCCGCTGACGAAGAACAAGGCACTTTAATTGATTATGTTCTTACTGTATGTTCAGAAACTACACAAAGTATTACTTTCTTAAAATGTAGGCACACCAGTTACTTTTTTTTTAAATCCACCTGATTTGTACATCACTGGTTGTGTGCTTTTCACATCTCTCACAATTATGAACACCGCAACCGCACACGGGAGAGACTTCTCCGCCCTAGAGGCACCAATCTACTAACAAGCCACAGGCCTCCGTACTGGAGGACTCAGACTGCAGGAGAGGGGCATCCCTAGCCCACAGCACCACATGCCTGCAAGCGCCAGGAAGGCCACAGGGGGCGCTATGTTGCTGACAAGCTGAGAGGACCCTGGCTGACTAATTGCTCCTGACCTGCTTGTGAAATCCCGGTCACATTCAGCCGGTGACATGACCCAGGTTCGAACCCGTGACACATGGGTTCACCAGAATTGCTTGAGCCACTTGGAAGTGGCTTTATTCTTTATGATTCTTTAATTTGGGAATCCCTACCTCATTCGAGATCTAGAACTCTAAAAAAACGAAAATAACCCTTGGATTGTTTTCCCTGTTGTCTGTAGAACAGCTGGTGCTTCAATTTTTAATCCTCAGCATTTTTTGTTCGTAACATTGGAGAAGACAGAATTCAAACAGATTTAGCTTTTTCTGATACCTGATTGTTGCCTGCTTCAGTTGTCATAGAGTAAGTACTTTGTAGCCGCACATAATTATCTGATCTCATGGAAAGTTAGAAGGTATTCATTATGAAGAGCAGAAAACATGCTGTTCCAGGTGGCACTGGGCCTGTAAACAGCCTCCCACTGTTAATAGGTAATTCATGCTGTGTGTCTTGTTTGCTCCCTGAGTTCCTGGAGCTGCTATCTCTGCGTGGGCATTGCCAGGGGTGCCCATCTCCCCATCGTGGTGCCCTGACCTCTTCCTCTGCGCTGGGCTCTCTGGGCTCTCGCTCTGTACCTGCCAGTGCGCCCCCTGAAACGGAAGTTAAACCTACATCCAGCTTGAGACAGTTTTCGGGGACTCCCCCCAAAGCTTTTAGGGGGTAAGGGGGGAGATTCTGATTTAGAGGTGCTCAGACATAGTCCTGTCATCAGCCCACAGATGACAGCTTCGTATCGCTGGCTCCTTAGCCGAGCACGGATACCTGGGATGTCTGAACCTGTGGCTCCTCTCGTACTGAGCAGGATTGACTATAATCTGGCACCTTGGTAGGTGGGCTGCTAAATAAAAAATCCACACAAACTTTCTGGGTCAGTTTTAAAATCCCACCGCAGGGGTACCCGTAGCCTTAGTTGAAACACTAAACACATTTCTTTGAAGGAACTTTAACAGTATCTCACCTATGATCCGAACCTCACAGTGCCTTCTTTCTTACCAAACACACATTGAAAATCTACCTCTACCCTACATGCCAAAAGCTCACTCCCCATAATTTCTATCCTTTTATTTCATTCTGTTGATGCATGTTTTTGCACATCTGTTGTTGTTTTTGCACACTGCCTGTTGTCTGTCTGTTCATTATACAATTGTATTGTTGTTTTTTTTTGTACTACTTATCGTCTGAGAGCTATCTCAATAGCATTTCGTTATACCATAAACCTGTATATGAGTATAATGACAATAAACTTGAACTTAACTCCAGAAAAAAACACAGAACCACCAAAGATCTGAATAATATCTGAACCCGCGACAGGAATGGATTCAAGTATACACCTGAATTCCTCCACCGATCAGCGGCACCAGGAGCTGGGGATGAATTATGCATTGCGAATGGACACACAAGGGGAGAGCTGCTGTAATATAAGACCTGTGACAGAGCTCTGTTACAGCCTGGCCAACAGAGAGCCGCTGCTGGGTTCATAGCTTCACCTTATCTGTGAAGGACAAGTACAAAAATCACTCATCTCTTCTCAAGCAGGGGAGTATCTTAACTAGATGAGACAACGCACTCTGGTCAAGGACGCTTTCGTTGCAATCCAGTGACGGCCACGGCCTGCTTCTCTTCTGCGTCACTGGGGAGCTGGGTTTCACTGCTCGTTAATAATGCAAACCACTGGAGGAGAAGGCTGGCCCATTTATTCCCCCTTGCAGTCGTGTTTCGGCACGAGAGATGATGAGACCCCCGGTCAGAGGTCTGGGCTGCTGCTGGTCCCTCCTGCTGCTGTGGGTACGCTCCTGTGCGCTGGAGGATGTCACCCCGAACCCCAGGAGCGAGGGCTGTGACAGCGGAGGGTCGTGTGCTGAAGAACTCACAGAGCAGCCTTCCTGTCAGCCAGGTACTGCCTGACACCCCGTCACCTTCTCTTCAGGTGGGGGGGTCGTGGATGGGGCTCCTGCACAGTGATTCTCCACTGCCCAAGTTATTTATTGTCTCCTAAAGGCACCCGGGCCGATTCAGACCTCTCTCGTGCGCTGCGTTAAGTCATCCAAACTCAGTTTGCCTCTTCCCCCTCGGTTCCCTGTGTTCTTTTCCCCTCTCTGAAGATCCCAGCCTTCTTTCCCAAATCCGTCTGGCGGTAGTGCCTGGGTTTTCCAGGCAGAGTGTCAGCGCGTCTAAAGTCTGCGCTCTCTCCAGGTTTTTACTGTCCGGGGGGCAGCTCGGGCCCGGTCCCCTGTCCCAAGGGCACGTACGGGCGGACGGCGGGCGCCAGGACAGCGGAGAGCTGTGAGAGGTGCCCCCCCCACCACTTCAGCCCCCAGCCGGGGATGTCAGCCTGCCTGCCCTGCGGCGCCTGGGCACAGCAGCCACGGGAGGGCCAGGACACCTGCGTGTGCCCCGGGCAGGGGCAGACCTTCCAGGTACCCTCCAGGGGGCAGGAACGTGTGTGCGCGCGGAAGGAGGGGGCACGTGGGTGGGAGACAGTACCGCTAAAGCAATACGGAAAAGAATCTGTCTGCAGCGCCGGGTCTGATTCTTGTTGTTAGTTTTTTAAGCTCGGTGACCTGTTTTTGTTTGCAATCCGTGCTCTTCTGCTCTTGCGGGGTCCCTGTCTGACCTCGCACGGGATTAAGGGCACGTGTCTGGCGTCGGGGTCCGGCCCTCCTGAGCACGTGTCGGTCTGTGTGTCCGCGCCAGGCCAGCGACGGGCAGTGCCCATGCGCCCTGGGGTACCGTCCGGCAGGAGAGGGCTCGGGCCTGTGCGTGCCCCGGGTGTACGAGATCTGCAGGGAGGGCACGGCCCGCACGCAGGAGGGGGCCTGTCTGGACAGGGACCAGTGGGCGCGGCACTGCTCCCAGCAGGTGAGGAGGCCCCTGCACGGCTGGCCGACACATCTGCACCAAATCTGTCTGGGGGGGGCGCAAGGCGTCCCGTCCATGGTGGGGGGTCAGTAATCTAGCGTGTTTGCAGGTGTGCCCCTCCCCTGCGGACTACCAGGGCTATGACAAGAGGCTGGGGCTGTGCCTGTGTCGAGCCCCCGACGAGAGCGCTGTGTGTGACCGGCCCTGCAGGAGGCGGCAGAGACAAGCCTTGCAGCTGGCCTGCCGGGGGGCGCTGAAGGTTCTCGTCGCCAGCCGCGGCACCCAGGTGAGTGCCCAGCCTCCAGACCTGCCTCGATACACAGGCCTGATAGTGCCGGTGGGCTTCATTCAGATGAATGTGCCGGGTGCCGGGTGTCCGTCTTTACGACATCATCTCCCTGTCACTGTACAGACCAGCTCTCCGGACTCACTTAGACTTCCTTCCTTAGATTTCATACGTTCCTAACCGTCACCGTTCAGAAACAGGCGGGACCAAATTCTGGGATAAACTAACAATCCCAGAAACAAGATGGGTGACACACTCAACACTCTTGCAAAAAGTCTGATGAGCGCAAGGCTGGACAGGGATGGACAGAGGTGTCCCAGAACCCAGGACGGGCTTGGACTGAGGGCTCTCACCTGCAGAGCTGCTCAGGAGTGCCGAGAGGTGTCATCTTTCCTTCTGCGGTCAGTTCCAGGTGAAGGTGTCCGTGAGGGCGTTGGAAGGCGTCCTGGGCAGCTGGGATTCCTTGCTCGACCTGCGGTGCACTGGGCACCTCAACGACACCCGCCCCGTGTACCTGGTGGAGACGAACGGTAAGCCGGGGGGCACTGGCCGCTGGACCGGCCGGGACCGGCTCTCCTTCCCTGCTGCCTTCCCGGTGTGCTCTTCCTTCATTTCCGCTGTGTGTTGTGCAGAAGCCGGGTTCCTGGGGGTGCTGAACCCGGACCCCAGTGACCTGCAGGGGCTCCTCTGGAGGAGCAGGCGTGAGTGGATGGATGGAATGGGATCGGCGGATACACCAGGTACGTTTTTAGTTGTGTCATGATCGTCATTAAGGGCGCTCTGAGCCTTTCAGTATTTGAGTTGATTATGTGCACCTGTCCCCTGTTTAGTCTGTCATTATTTAAGCCTGGCGCTCCCGCTATTCCTGGCTCAGCACTGGGAGATGGACACCGGGAAGCCCGCCTACCAGCGGGTCCAGGAGAGACCCCGACGGCACAGGCTTCCTCACGGCGTCCTGACCGGCTGAGACCGGGGCTCTGGCCTCGATATCCTATTTTTTAACTCCCTGTTCCTATTCCGGATCCCATTCTGGATTTCAACCTCTCTGATGGTTCTCCCGATTCCTGGACCCTGGACTGTGCCCCGGATTTCCCCCCTTGGACTGTCTGGATCTGTTAGCCCTTGCCACACCCGCCCGAGCACCGGATCACCGTCGTCACGCCCCCCCCCGTCAGTCAACCTGCCCTGATCCTGCTGTACCCTCCCCTGATGTCCTTCTCCACTTACGTCCGGATTGTACCGTCTGCATAGGGTCCTGAACTACCACAATAACGATCGCTCAACTCTGTGGAGAGAAGGCACAAAGCAATTTTCCACTGGAAAATAAATGGCTTGGTGTGAAAAGCTGTGGTGCAACCCACCTTTCTTGCAGTTTTTTTCCAGGTGGTTTGGTAGGAAGAAATACAGTTGTTCTCGGTCTCACGACAAATTCCCCCAGTGTTTAGTGTATCAGTTATTAATAATATTTAGTCTTTGTAATTTGCACTATGTATATGCTGTCTACAATGTCTGTGTCAGCTTCTTGTCCTGTACTTGCACCGTGGACCAGGAGGAACGATATTTCATTCCACTGTATACTTGTATATGGCTGGAATGACAAGTAACCTTGAACTTGACCTTTCGGTTCTTTTCAGGAAACATCACCTCCCACAACGGCACAGCCGGTAACGAGGAGTCTGGCTGGCCAGGAGAGCCCGCAGCTGGGAAACAGAGCAGGAACCACAGCTTCGCTGGGATCCTGAACCCCAGCGCGTGTCTCAGCCTGGGGGACGTGCTGCTGTTCGCGCTTCAGAAGGAGCACTTCCCCCAGTATGACATGTAAGTGAACGCCCCGCCGCAGTTTCCTGGGAGCCGTGTGGCCGCGCGGCGCTGCTGAGGGTGAGACCGCCCTGCCTGGCGAAGCAGTTGAGTCTCGGGCTTAATGACACCGACATCTTCATCACTCGGTCAGGCCCCGCACGTCTCATTAGGAGCTCCTGGATCTTGACACTTCCCGAGTGCTCTCCCCTCCTTCTCCCCCCTCCAGAGACAACCTGTACAACACCAATGCCGACTTCGACTGGGGCGCGTTCCGGGCGCTGGGCGAAGACATGACCCTGTCCCCGGCTCCTCCCGGGCTCTTCTCCCTCGTGCTTCCCGAGCCGGGGGTCTACGTGCTGAGGCTCAGCAGCAACCGGCACAAGAGGATGGTGCGTGTCGGCGGCCGGGAACCTCCAGGGACCTCCGGAAACGTCACACATCAGACTGACCGCAGGGGTGTGGCGTTCCTAGCAGGCAAACTGGGTGCAAACGGACTCATTTGTCTGCAGGAGCACAAACCACAGCTGTGTACGATACAGGCCTCTCAGGGAAGCTAGTGGAGCGCAGTGCAATGTGTCAGCTCTGTAGCTACTTTGTTAGTGTAGATTAGCCAGCAGCCACATCACCCTGCAGCCCCCAGCTGGCAGCCCCCCTGGAGCTCAGCAGGTGTGAGCCTGGCCAGTACCTGGATGGGAGACTCCTGGGAAAAACTAAGGCTGCTGCTGGAAGAGGTGTTAGTGGGGCCAGCAGGGGGCGCTCACCCTGCAGTCTGTGTGGGCCCTAATGCCCCAGTATAGTGATGGGAACACTGTACTGTAAAAAGGCTCTGTCCTTTGGATGAGACGTAAAACCGAGGTCCTGACTCTCTGTGGTCAGTAAAAATCCCAGGGCATTTCTTGAAAAGAGTAGGGGTGTTACCCTGGTGTCCTGGCCAAATTTCCCCCTGGCCTTTCCCAGTCATGGCCTCCTAATAATCCCCATCTCTGAACTGGCTTCATCACTCTGCTCTCCTCCCCACTGAGAGCTGGTGTGTGGGGAGAGGACTGGAGCATCATCCAGGTGGGGCTGCACACTGGTGGGGCTGGAGGGGATCCCCATGACCTGTAAAGAGCTTTGAGTGGAGTGTCCAGAAAAGAGCAATAAGTGTAAGCAATTACTATTATTAATATTATTCCTCGTGTGCATATGTCCATGATCTCTGTGTTTATACAGTATATAAACATGAGGTCAGTCTACTAGGTGTCCAATAGGTACTGTAACTGGCCCATCATGATGTCCCCCTCCCTGAGTGGCTGTTGCATGTCTCTGCAGTACGTCAAGGTGATGCCCGTCGGGGGGCAGTGCTACGAGGCCGGGCCCTTCTTCCCCACCATCCCCCGGCACGTGGTCCGCATGGGCATGGCCCGGAGCCGCCCGCTCCTGCTGCGTCCTGATTGGCTGGCGCTGGCGGGCCTGCTGGCGGGGGCGGTGCTCCTGCTCGGCGTCTGCGTCGCCCTGCTGGTGAGAGCTCCCCAGCGGCTCCCGCTGTGATTCCCCGGGGGCGCTGCTGTCTGAGGGGGGGCGGGGGGGCTCACGCGAGGGGTGCCAGAGGGCCATGACGCCTCATTACTGATGAAACAAAAAAGGAGACGAACCACGTGGTGAATGGAGGGAAGGAAAAATCATATTTTTCTGGCTCCTCGAAACACATTTAAAGACCATTGGTACGGTTTATTTGTTGACTCCTCCCGGCTTCCGCAGATTCTGTTCCGGGAGTATGGCTGGCCGGAGAAGACGCCCATCAGCCCCCGGTACCGCCAGCTGCAGCTCAAGTACAGCCTGGACGACTGCTCCTCCAAGGGCTCCACCGCCATGGCGCTGGTGCAGAAGCTCCACCGCAGCCTGCAGGCCGAGGCGTCAGGGCCCGGGGCCGGCGGCGCCGCTCAGGCAGGTCAGAGAGGCGGCAGGCGGGCGCTGATCCTGTTTCTGTGTGTGTCACTCTTGCTACCTGACAATGCAGTGAGCTTGAGGTAATGTCCTGTGTCACACAGTGATTTCAGTTCATTACGTAAAGGGAATGGGAAAAAGTCGCCTCTTGCTGATTAACCTCCCCTCTAGTCCAGTGGTTCCACCCACTGTCGTGTCTCCACAGTGCCCACCCTGACAACAGATGAGTTCTGGGACTATGAGCAGCAGGTAGACCTGGAAGCCTTCGATACTGATGTGTTCTATGACATTCTGATGAAACACACTGTCTCTGTGACCGCCAGGCTTGGCGAGTTGAAGGATGAGGTAAGCAAAACCTCAACACCTTGGCATAGCGTAGAAATCAGCCCACTGCTGAGACCAGTTCAGGAAACAGTGTGCATCTCACTTTACTCTTGTAGATATCAGTCTATTGCCTAAAACTAGTTCAGTAAACAGTACTGGTAGAATTAAGCACACTGCTGAGATGTTGAGGCCAATACAGGAAACACTGTGCATCTCACTTTACGCTCGTAGATATCAGTTTATTGCCTAAAACCAGTTAATGAAACATTGAATCACTCAGTACTAGTAAAAATCAGCTCACTGCTGAGACCAGTTCAGGAGACAGAACATTTTGCATTTTACCTTAGATTTTCATATTGACATATTGTTATTATAAGGATTATTTTATCTTCAAATATCATTAACTATAAGATTGCAAAAGCACAAAAAACAATATTATATTAAAATCATATAATATCAAAATGTAATACCTGATTTTAGGGAGTGAGAATGAGATCGGATGCCTGTTGTCCGTCCAGGTGATCCAGACACAGGGCTGGGGGTGTGAGAGGTATTTTTGTCTCCCCCAGGTAAAGGAGCTGTATGGGAAGGTGGTGAGCCGGGCGGAGATCCTGGGCGCCCTGTGGGTGTCCAGGCTGACCGCAGCGGGCCAAGGGGCCGGGGTCAAGGACGCAGCGATGGGGCTGTACCAGCGGAAGCGCCAGGAAGTGGAGGGCGAGAGGGCTCGCCGCCGTGGCCTGGCCGCCCAGGCGGTCCACCTGCTGGACAGGCAGCTGCGGACGCTAAGGCAGGAGCTGGGGGCCCGACAGGAGCAGCAGGGGGCCTTCAGGGGCCAGCTAGGGGAGGCCCTGCGCCTGCTGGACCAGCTCTGTGGGAGAGTGTCCGGTCAGCCCGGCCACATCCAGGACCAGCAGCTCCAGCAGTACGGACTGAATTCACTACTGTGTCTGCTCTGTTCCTATGTGCTCTTACACAGGCATGAGAGTGTGTCTTCTTGTCTCTGTGTCTATGTGTCCGTTTAAGTCCACTTTAACATACCCGTCTCTCTGATTATGCTGCAGCATGGCCCAGAGGGTGACATCGCTGGTGGTCCAGATGGCCGAGGGCGTGGTCCAGGAGTGCCAGCGCAGGGGGACCTGGGCTGTGCTGGGCAAGGGCACCGGCGCTCTCCTGTGGGCAGCAGGCAGAGGGGAAGCCCTTAGGAGGGAGGAGCTTGTTGGTGAGCTGATTGACCTTGTAAAAAAGTGCCGTCCTTCAGATGAGACATAAAACCGAGGTCCTGACTCTCTGTGGTCATTAAAAATCTCAGGGCGTTTCTTGAAAAGAGTAGGGGTGTTACCCCGGTGTCCTGGCCAAATTTCCCCCTGGCCTTTCCCAGTCATGACCTCCTAATAATCCCCATCTCTGAACTGGCTTCATCACTCTGCTCTCCTCCCCACTGAGAGCTGGTGTGTGGGGAGGGGACTGGAGCATCATCCAGGTGGGGCTGCACACTGGTGGGGGTGGAGGGGATCCCCATGACCTGTAAAGAGCTTTGAGTGTCCAGAAAAGAGCTATGTACGTGTTATTATTATTATCATGGATGAATGTGCCTGGTTACCAGAGGCAAAGCTTTGAAATGACCTTTTTGCTCTGGCCAAGGGCTTCACCTGCCTCTCAGAGCAGTATTAGACCCCCAGCTGCCTGCCGGGGGGCCGGAGGACGTGATGGGCGCAGTGCCGCATGTCATCGTCTCCGTCTCGCTCCGCAGCTCCTGACGGGACCGTGCGGGCGTCTGACGCTGTCCGCCTGGACCCCTGCACGGGCTTGATTGTGCCCAGTCCCGGGGCTCAGATGCTGCTGGCCAACGGGCACCGCATGCCAGTGCCCCCGGATTTCTTTGTGCACCCCCAGACCGGGCGGGTGCTGCCCGTGGCCGGGAACGTGGGCTACTGTCCGGTGAGGTCAAGGCTCGTCTTCGTGGTGGACTCCTGTTCAGGTAATTCAGCACAGGCAGCCAGCGACTGACTGGACTGGACCGGTCTCTGGCCCTGGGAGCTTGCCAGAGGCCCGGGTTCTATCAGAGCTCTGATCCAACCATCCAGACAGCTCATTCGCTCTCCCTGGGCTCTTCTGTCTCCAGGTGAGGCTGACAAGTGGGAAACCCCCTTGCTCCCCTTCGTCCCCTATCCTGTATCCCGCCACACGGGGCTCCCCGTTAAGTGTCGACTGCAGGGGCTCCAGCCTGGCCAGGAAATGGCTTTCGGGGGACCCATGTGTGACCCCGACACGGGCCTCCTCGTGCCAATCCTGGCGGTAACTATCCACCCCGAGAGCGGGCTGGTGTACCCTCTGGGGGGTACGCACGCCTGCCCCCTTACCCTCCTGCCTCAGCCCATACAGATTGGAGGCGCCATGCTGGACCGCAAGACAGGAAGCCTGCTGCTCATCGTGGGCGTCGGCCTGGACCCCAAGTCCGGTAAGCCGTGACGATGACAGTGGCGCTGCCTGCATCCTGACGTTTCATTCCAACTCTGCCTCTTCGGGCTGCGTTCCCCACCCAGCACGTGCGCAAGCAACCGGATGACTTTGCAGTTTGGTCAAATGTAAATGTAAAAGGTTCTGAATCTAATCTGTGTGTACTATCGATCCATTATGGACCCCCGGGGGCCTCCTCAGTAGATTTTTAAGGAATCAGGAAGCGTTTTCCTGCTGCTCAGCACTGCTGATAACCCTGTAAGGGCCCACCTGATTCTGTTAACAGCACGATGGCCAAAAAGTGATGTAAAACTGGACCCTATGCGGTAGGAGGCTTAATACCAAGCACAGGGTTTGAGAGCCGGGTGTACTTAGCCAAATTGTAGATTTCAGAACGGTAGTCAAAGGGGAGCACAGGTCAGGAAGCCAGATATTCAGGAGAACAGCAATCAAGTAGATGTGAGGAGGTTAACTAGGGGCTCCACTGGGATACCCAATACTGAGCACAGTGGTAAAGAGCCCTTAAGTATTCTGAGAACCAGGAAATGTGATGGTGATCGAGGGGTGTGATTGGCTCATTCGTTTCTATGCAGGAATCTGATTATGGGGGGCCGGGACAGATTCTCATTGCCGGCTGTTCTCTGTGACAGGGGGTGTGATTCCTGTGGGGGGGCTGCCGAGCCCTGCCGGCGGCCCCCTGCTCCTGGGCGACTCCTTCACCGAGCCCCTGAGTGGGCGGCCGGGGCAGGTGTGGGGGGCCAGCCTGCAGGGGGGCAAGCCGGTAGCCCACAGCGGGGGTTACCAGGCCCTGCTGGACTCCCACGCCCTGGCCTGCGGCCTGCGGGTCACCGAGCTGCTGAAGGAGGCCAGGGAGGCCCCGGGCGAGCAAGGCCTGGTCATGTCGGCGGTGGGGGAGCTGGAGCGAGCCTGGGGCCGCAGTGACCACTGCCTGCTGCAGCTGCTCTGCGGCCTGGAAGGACAGCTGGCACGAGCCAGGGACTTCGGCGCTGACGGCGGCAGCCAAGGTGAGCCTCAGGGCCCACTGGAATCGCCCGTTCCTTGCGCCTGTCGAAACCAAGAGATTCGAGCCTGAAGTGTCCGGTCGTCAAGCCAAGCTGTATTGTATGCATGCAAGGAGCAACACATTTGAGGCTTGTTGTTGTATTGCTCAGAGGTGATATGGCTCTGCGCTGCTTATGTACAGTGAAAAAGTGTTTGCCCCCTTCCTGATTTCTTATTTTTTTGCATGTTTGTCACACTGAAATGTTTCAGATCATCAAACAAATTGAAATATTAGACAAAGATAACACAAGTAAACACAAAATGCAGTTTTTAAATGAAGGTTTTTATTATTAAGGGAGTTCAATTTCTCTAGCCACACCTAGGCCTGATTACTGCCACACCTGTTCTCAATCAAGAAATCACTTAAATAGGACCTGCCTGACAAAGTGAAGTAGACCAAAAGATCCTCAAAAGCTAGACATCATGCTGCGATCCAGACAAATTCAGGAACAAATGAGAAACAGAGTAATTGAGATTTATCAGTCTGGAAAAGGTTATAAAGCCATTTCTAAAGCTTTGGGATTCCAGTGAACCACAGTGAGAGCCATTATCCACAAATGGTGAAAACATGGAACAGTGGTGAACCTTCCCAGGAGTGGCCAGCCGACCAAAATTACCCCAAGAGTGCAGCGACGAGTCATCCAAGAGGTCACAAAAAAACCCACAACAACATCCTAAGAACTGCAGGCTTCATTTGCCTCGGTTAAGGTCAGTGTTCATGACTCCACCATAAGAAAGAGACTGGGCAAAAAATGGCCTGCATGGCAGAGTTCCAAGACGAAAACCACTGCTGAGCAAAAAGAACATAAAGGCTCGTCTCAGTTTTGCCAGAAAACATCTTGATGATCCCCAAGACTTTTGGGAAAATACTCTTCGGACTGACGTGACAAAAGTTGAACTTTTTGGAAGGTGTATGTCCCATTACATCTGGCGTAAAAGTAACACAGCATTTCAGAAAAAGAACATCATACCAACAGTAAAATATGGTGGTGGTAGTGTGATGGTCTGGGGCTGTTTTGCTGCTTCAGGACCTGGAAGACTTGCTGTGGTAAATGGAACCATGAATTCTGCTGTCTACCAAAATCCTGAAGGAGAATGTCCGGCCTGTTCGTGACCTCAAGCTGAAGCGCACTTGGGTTCTGCAGCAGGACAATGATCCAAAACACACCAGCAAGTCCACCTCTGAATGGCTTAAGAAAAAAAATGACAACTTTGGAGTGGCCTGACCTGAATCCGATTGAGATGTTGTGGCATGACCTTAAAAAAGCGGTTAAGGCTCGAAAAACCCTCCAATGTGGCTGAATTACAACAATTCTGCAAAGATGAGTGGGCCAAAATGCCTCCACAGTGCTGTAAAAGACTCATTGCCAGTTATCGCAAACGCTTGATTGCAGTTGTTGCTGCTAAGGGTGGCCCAACCAGTTATTAGGTTTAGGGGGCAATCACTTTTTCACACAGGGCCATGTAGGTTTGGATTTTTTTTTCCCTTAATAATGGGTACAGAGAAACATACAGATTCTACTAGCAGACTCTATCACGCCCAACCATTAAATGATACAAAACGGTCCCGGTTCTGGTGCTGAGCCTAGTGGGCCAGACTTGCTAGACCCCCTCATGGATGGGCTCAGGTAGCCCTGGGAGTGGATGTCTCGCATCCTGGCTCTGCACAGAAAGCTATTCTCCGTCTCCTTCCTTTGTGCCTTTCTATCCCGTCAGTTTGGAGAAGCACTCTGCTCTTACAGAAACGCGCCTCTCACGCATGTCTGGCGTGAGCACTTCCTGTCAGGATCGGGACTCTTGGATGAAATGCGCAGCAGGAACGTTGGGAGGAGCAGGAGGTCGAGGAGTAAATAAGCCCAGAAGCCGTCACGGGGGGATCTTTCTTGTCTCATAGGTTTGATTAAGTTCCCTGGCACAGAGCTGACCCTGCCTGCTCTGGCTGGACTGGAGTACCTTGACCCAGGAGGCTCAGGATTGCTGATACCGGTCCTGGGGGCGCAGTGGGACTGGGACAGGGGGGTTCTGGTCCCCCTCGCTGGAACCATGGAGGACGCGGATGGCAAAGGTAGCCTGGGCTGAGCGTGACCGTCGCGGCAGGGAGGGCGATGACGTCACCGTGCCCAAACTAGCTCCGCTACATTAGCACCGGTGTCTAAACGATCTAAACCAGAATAAGGGCATAATACTGCATTTGCACGGGGCCCAGAAGTGACAGTGAAATTTCATTAGTCTTGCAGACTGAGGGCTGTTTATTTAAGGTGGATCCAATCAGTCCAAGAGAGCGGAGTGGAGATAGACTCCATTATTACAGGCCGCAATGAGAGTGGATACAGACTTGCAGCCTAACCCTAAACACACCTAGATCAGTGCTATCTCTCCCCGGTAGCTCAGCAGTTGAATTTGCCAAGGATCCTGTGCCCAGCAGTGAGCATACACCCTTTTTTCCAGGGCTGGTTCCGATCCGGATCGGGGCCCGTACGGTGGACCCCATAACTGGAAGAGTGGGGCCGGTGGTGGGAGCTCGGTTTGACGCTGTGAGGAGCACTGTGGTCCCCATCACTCAGGCCTACAGCCAGCTGTTGAGAGGACACCCAGATCTAGAGCTGGTATGTTCAGCCCCAGAGGCACTGGGATGTCCTCTCCTGTGCGCCCAAGTCTGTAGGGTGTCGTGAAACTCCGAAGATTTCATATCAAGGGGAAGATTTTCATGAAACGCAAAGGGAATGAAAACCCAGCTCCAGCTGGAGGTCAGGAGGTCGGTGAGGCAGCAGTGTGGGATGGTGGTTAGATTTGTAAAGGGGCACTTATCCCAGGTGAGCTCTCAATCCAGCTGCTCACCTGCGGCCCGTGTTGTCACACAGGTCCACGAGCTGCAGAGGGAGGCCCGCGTCAGGAGGGAGTTCTGGAGGGCCCGGCGGCAGCAGGACGAGGAGCTGCTGAGGGGGGTGGCCTCAGCCCTGCGGCGCTGTTTCGGCGCGGCGGCCCGGGGGCACGTGGAGGAGGTCAGGCCCGCTCCAGCGCCCGGGGTGCAAACTCGCAAGGAGTCTGAGGGGGAAACACGTAGCCTCGCTCCTCGGCGTCAAGATGTCCATTTCTGTGTCACAAAGCAAAGTTTGGGCCGGTTTCGCCTCCCCTTTCAATTCCTATGGTCTATGGACACTGGCGCCATGTTGGCAGCAATGTCAAGCCACCTATAGGAGTCAGTAGAAGTCTGCTCCTCTTCTCTGCTTTAGTCTACCGGCACGCCCCCGACACTCTAGTGCAAGACGCCAGAGAAGGAGCCCGGCTCTCTCTCCCTAGTTCCACTGACCACGGACCCCACCTCTGTCCCCGTGGGGTTGAACGGGGCTGTTTGCATCTCTGTCGCCCTGCAGGCTCAGTGGCGGGACAGTGCCGGAGCCCTGCAGGGGGCAGCTCAGGAGCTCCAGGAGGCTGCCCTCGCGGAGGCCCACCGGAGGGCGCTGGAGAAGTCCGAGCTGTCCAGTGTGCTGCCGTCTGACGTCCTGCTGATCCTGACTGAAGGTGATAGGCAAGGAGAGCTGATAAGATAGCATGGCTCTGGGTGACAGGAAGCTGTCTTCTGGGGTTCTGAGTAATAGGCAGCCTTGTTCTGGGGTTCTGAGTGACAGGAAGCTGGGATCTGGGGTTCTGAGTGACAGGAAGCTGGGATCTGGGGTTCTGAGTGACAGGAACCTAGGATCTGGGGTTCTGAGGGACAGGAACCTAGGATCTGGGGTTCTGAGGGACAGGAAGCTGGGATCTGGGGTTCTGAGGGACAGGAAGCTGTGTTCTGGACGTGTCAAACAAAATACTAGCTCTACATTCACATTATATATGACGTACAACACCATCACAAAGACACCGATTTGTTCTGAAGAGTACGTCATTAAAATGTGCCTCTTTCAGTCTGCCTGTGTCCCTGTGTGCAGGCGACGAGGGTGAGTGGGAGCAGGAGCAAAGGGTACAGGCGGTGCTGGAGTCCCTGCTGGACAGAGTGAGCGTCAGTGTGGACAGACTGCAGCAGGAGCAGGACAGAATGACAGCAGGGAAGGAGCTGCCTCACAAACTGGAGCACAGCAGGGTGAGAGCTGGAACTTATGGCGTCCTGGACAACGCCTGGCCTTGAAGGAGTAGTGACTGTTGGCGTTGAGGGAGTAGTCTCAGGCCTGGGCGCTGGGCGTAAGGGAGCAGTGACTCTCTGCCTCTGTGTCTCAGGCCTGGGCGCTGGGCGTGAGGGAGCAGTCGGAACGGTTGCTCGCAAGACAGGCCAGTCTGGAGGCGGCTGTTGGCAAACTGCACTGTCACCGGGAGTACTGCCAGCTCAGGGCAGCCACTGCAGAGGTGAGAGACAGGACCAACAAACAACCGCATTTCAGGTTTGGGCTTTTGCAAAAAAAAAAAGGGAGAAATAACACATGAAGAAGATAAGTGTGCTTGTAATCTTACTTCTTGTGGTCCTGTGACACGGGCCCTTTACTGTCCGGTCAGAGCTCTATGATCCTGGGAAAACACGCTCACGGGCTGCCCGTGTGGCGATGGCTCCTGTTTCCCACCAGGCTGTGCTGTCCGGCTCGTTCTGGTACGAAGACTACGGTGTCACTCGGAGGAGAGGCTGCAGGAGCCCGCGGAGAGCTGTCGAAATGAGCCAGCGCCGAATCAGGCCGCTGCTGGAGCAACTCCTCCACCTGCTTGAGGAGAACAAGCGCCTGCGTCTGTCCCCGGGCTCTCCCTCCAGGGCCGGCTCAGGTACTGGTCCTGCTGTTTCTGAACTAATAATGCCCATTCCTCATGCTTACAGAGCTCTTTTCTGGACTCTCCACTCAGAGCTCTTTACAGGTCATGGGGATCCCCTCCACCCCCACCAGTGTGCAGCCCCACCTGGATGATGCTCCAGTCCTCTCCCCACACACCAGCTCTCAGTGGGGAGGAGAGCAGAGTGATGAAGCCAGTTCAGAGATGGGGATTATTAGGAGGCCCTGACTGGGAAAGGCCAGGGGGAAATTTGACCAGGACACTGGGGTAACACCCCTACTCTGTCCGAGAAACACCCTGGGATTTTTAATGACCACAGAGAGTCAGGACTTTAATTTTATATCTCATCTGAAGGATGGAGTCTTTTTACAGTGTAGTGTCCCCCGTCACTATACTGGGGCATTAGGACCCACACAGACCGCAGGCTGATCGCCCCCTACTGGCCCCACTAACACCTTTTCCAGCAGCAGCCTCAGCTTTCCCAGGAGTCTCCCCTCCAGGTACTGGCCAGGCTCACACTGCTGAGCTCCAGGGGTGCTGCCAGCTGGGAGCTGCAGGGTGATATGGCCTCTGTCTGCATATGAACTGCAGCGCTCGAGAAAACAAACTGGTATCCTTGCTCGCCGGACCCCAGGCTACGCGTCTTGGTCCTGTGTTTTCAGGTCTGCTAGCGAGGCGGCCAGCTGTTTTGGAGAGGAGTAGTGTGAGAGCTTGGTCAGTGACTGTCCCTGGACACAGCAGAAAGAAACTGAGAAGTGGCGTGTCAGCTTTCACACAGACCAACCTCGAGAAGATAAGACGATAGGTGTCAGGGAGCGCAGCTAAACTGAGAAAAGGTTTAGGCCAAAAATCAGAGTTTGTGCTTCTAAATTGGTCTCTAATTGGCTACTACACACATCCCTGCTTCTGCTCCTGCAGGGGGCTCGGCTGTGGTGTGGAAAGATGGGGTGAGAGCTGCCCTGTGGGACTCTGAGGCCATCTGTGACGAACCCTCTGCCCCGTGGCCTGGGGGTACCCCCTCCACGCTGCCTGAGGCACCCCAAGAACCCGGAGAGACTACAGTGCCAGGGAGGCCCCACAGTCAGTGTCGAATCTGAGGGCGTTTTAATCTGCGTGTTGTGCTGCACCTCAGGAGTCTCAGGAACAGGACGCTGGGGGACCCCCAGTCAACACAGCCCTTTCCCTTTTCCCCTCCGCAGGCGTCCCTGTCCCGGCGGACCCGGAGAAGTCCCGGCCCGTCTGCTCGTCCCCTCCGGCAGGTGAGCCAGCGCCGTGCCGCCAGGGAACCCGCCGGAAGCTGGACAGGTTGCGCGGCCCTGTCCGCCGGAGGCTCATCCCCTGCTCTGTACGCAGGGCCGGAGTGGGACGGGCTGCTGGGCCGCTCCCCGCTGTTCCGGCTGCTCCGCCAGCTGGACGGCCAGCTGAGGGCCAAGGCCCGGGCGGCCGGCCTGCTGGAGAGCGACCCACGGGCCTGGGCAGGTGAGCGCCGGCCCGAACGCGTCCAGCAGTTCTGGCCGAGATACTCTTCCTCCTGCAGGACTGCCGGGGCGTTCACCGTCACCCCTGTGCAGCACCGTCAACAGGAAGCTTTGCAGTCGGACTGGGAAAAACTGACGTTGCTGTTCCTCCCTCACCCCCAGGGGAGAGCTGTCCTTTTATTCCTCTGTCCCATCGACCAGGGCAGGATTCGGGATACCCTTCCTCCCGCCTCTCCCTGAAGCCCCCCCCAGGCTGAAGCCAGAATAGGCGCGGCGCACAGCTTTCTGAAAGGAAATTTGTTTTTCTATTGAACAGTTTTGTTCAGAGCAAAATTCTGGCACTTGAACACAAAACATCCTGGCCAAATTTCCCCCTGGTCTTTACCCATCATGGCCTCCTAATAACCCCCATCTCTGAACTGGCTTCATCACTCTGCTCTCCTCCCCACTGAGAGCTGGTGTATGGGGAGAGGACTGGAGCATCATCCAGGTGGGGGTGGAGGGGATCCCCATCACCTGGAAAGAGTCCAGAAAAGTGCTAAAAAAGGGTTATGAAATTCTGTGCGTGTTCACCTTCATCAGGAGACGGAGGCCGGCCCTTCCTGGACATCGTGGACGCGCAGTGGCGCTGTGAGGGGGAGCTGGTGCCACTCGGCTCAGACAGGCTCAGCCCTCGGGAGTTCCTCGTGTATCAGCACGGCCTGTACCTGCTGGGCCTGCTGCGCACACACACGCAGGTCAGTCTCTCGGCTTCTCTCCGGGGGTTGGGAAACGCCTGGAGCCCACACTCTGCATGCAGGTGAGATGGGTTCTTAACATGTGGGAACTGAAATACACCCAGAAAGTAGGTAATGTAGGGTGACTTCAGCAGCTGTTTTGCCCTGCAGCTCCCAGCTGGCAGCCCCACTGGAGCTCAGCAGTGTGAGTCTGGCCAGTACCTGGATGGGAGACTCCTGGGAAAGCTGAGGCTGCTGCTGGAAGAGGTGTTAGTGGGGCCAGCAGGGCTCCCAGGGCGTTTCTCGAAAAGAGTAGGGGGTGTCCTGGCCAAATTTCCCATTAGCCCTTACCAAATATAGTCAATATTATTATTATTATGTGAGATGTCCTCTACTAACATGCTGAGGGCTTTCCAATATGGAATATATGTACACTTGTTTTCCTAGTGACAATTTGTCTCCTCACAGGTTCCGGAGATCACCTTACAGCTGGCCGCCAGCCTGCCCGCAAACGACTACACCCACAATGCCTTCCGGCACTCCTTCTTCTACCAGGTACATCTCATCATGGCTGTCGACCATGGGGTCCCTGTGTCGGGGGGTCCAGTCCTTGTGTCTGTGGGGTCATGACAGTGTTTGTGGGGTCACAGCAGTGTCTTTAGATCCCTGTGGGGTCATGGCAGTGTTTTGGGGGTCACAGAGGTGTCTGTGGGGTCACGGCCACATCTTCCTGTCCTGCAGGAGGCTGAGAAGACCCTGTTCGTGCGGCGGCAGCGTCTGCAGGGGGTGGGCGGCTTCTCCCTGCTGCTCCTGCACTGCCTGGCTCACATCGCCAGCGGGGAACTGAGCCCCGACTCCAGCCCCAACTTCCTCAGGGCCTTCTTCCAGGTACGGCCCTCTGGCACCCCACCCAGGCACATCCGGGACACACACTGCGCCCCAAATCAGCCTGCTGCTCAAGGAATACGATGAAGAATGCTTTAAAATCGCAGGCTTGAATAATGCATTTCCTGGCTCCTCCTAGCTCTCACGAGTGTCTGTCTGAGATCTGTCCAAGCCACGACTGATGTGTATAACCCTGCTCCACACCGCATTTGGAGAATGACTGCATAGCTTTGTGATGATGTCGATGTTTGGGGCCATGTCCTTCTGTCTCCCCAGACCCTGCAGGTGTGTCTCGGTGAGCTGTTCCTCCTCAGGCTGGTGGCGCCCCAAGGTGAGAGTGGGGACACCCCTTCCTCTCTGCGGGACATCCTGCTCAAGGATGAGTCTTGCAGCCCGGACTCCCGCGCTGCCCTCTCCGCTCTCCTGCAGGACAGGGTGCAGGGGCACCTCTCCTCACCACAGGTGAGTGGCTTCCTTCCTGCTTCCTCACCCAGAGCCAGTCTAAATCAATGGTGGGTCATGATGTGAGCAGAATTCTACAGCCTTATCAGTTGGGAAACTGACTCCAAACCCAGCACTCAGTGGCAGGTTTCTTTTGTACAATAAGCCTCAGAAGACAAAAGGGCATCCATCTGTCACCAATCCATCATTCATCACCCATCCATTATCTGTCCATCGCCCATCATTTATCCATCACCCATCACCTGTCCATCATCCACCCACCCATCTGTCATTCATCCTTCCATCTGCTATCAGAAAACTGCTTATCCCCAGTGAGCCAGAACCTGTCCCACAGTACAGGCAGCACACTGCCAGACTGGGTCCCAGACGGAACGGCAGTCCATCACAGGGCAGGAAATATTTCAGTCGCCACGTCCGGTGCTTCGTGGAGACGACCGGCAACTGAGAGCCCTGAGAGTCGGCTGACCTGAACTGCTCCTTCACCGCTGGGCCTCTCCTCTCCCCTGCAGCGCCTGGCAGACCGCCTGCGGGAGTACAGCGAGACGCGCATCTACCGCGGCGTGGAGGGCCTGCTGAGAGAGAGGACGGCCGAGACGAGGAGGGGGTACCGCCGACGCGGGACCGGAGGCGGGTGAGAACCTGACGATGGCACAGGCCCAGCGAGGGACCCCGACCCCGTGTCCCTGTGTCCCGCGACCACGATGGTCGTGACAGGGCAGTCTTGAGAACAGGGGAGCAACTCGAAGTCGAAGACTCTTAAGCTTCATTTTCTCACGTCCTTATGTCCTTCACCATGTTATGTCTCACGTCCTTATGTCCTTCACTCCCTTCACGGAAGGTTTGCTCCCGTGTCCCTGAGAAAGTCAGCACCGCCCCGTTCTCCTGCTTGCAGTGCATGAAAGCACAACAGGATCGAGTCGATTGACGAATCCCCTTAGTTAGCTGGATCAGCTCCTTTAAAAACTCCCCGTTAATTCTCCTGAGCGCCGGCCCCCGGGGCTCACGCCACCCTGTCTTTCTCTTGTCGTCAAGCTCCGTCCCGCCACCAGCGGCGGCAGCACCTCCGCGCCCGGGCCGGGAGGAGCACCAGGAGCCCCTGTCCAGTCTGCTGCGCGCCCAGCGGGAGCGGGGGGCCGGGGGGTCCCGGGAGGAGCTGCTGCGGGACATTGCGCGGCTGGAGACGGAGTGCGGGCTGGGGGAGTCGGGGGGAGGCCCCCCGCACCCCTCCAGCCTGAGTCAGCCGCTCAGGGGCCAGCCCGGGAACGAGGATCAGGGGCCTCACCAGAAAGGAGGGACGTCTGCACCTCAGTGAAAGGACTGCTCATCCTACAGAACTGTTTCCAAACGGGGGCTCACTCCCATACCCCACAATGTTCTTATCACAGTGACCACCATCACCCTGATAAACTTACAAAAGCTGCCCGACTGAGGTGACAGTTACATAAACATCAGCCATTCAGCTTTGGAATAAAATACCAGCTGTTCACTTTAAGGTAAACACCTTGCCTGTGCGTTGGTAAATGATTAATGGGGTCAAAACACCCGAATAAGCCCCCACACTATGAGGACATTGGGGGTTATAACGACAGGGCTGATGTCCTCAAAAGTCAGAGAGTGTAAAGGTCTGTTTGGGGCCTTGTCAAGTCGCTCCCACCCCCCCCCAAATCCTGACCTGCCACGTTACCCCGCGTCTGTGTGCGAGTGTGTTGCAACACTGCCCTCTCGTGGATTCAGTGCGTTACTGCAGCGGCGTATCGGGCTGTTCAGCGTTACCCGCGCAAGTCGAGTTGTATTTCAAGTTTCTCCATGAATCCCATCTGTTATGTACGGAAGTGCATTGCTGCCACCAAAGGGGGGGGGAAATCGCCCCCTTATCCCGTAATTACGAGATAGGAATAATTACTTATTACCTATGACATCTCACAAAATAATTACAGTGCATATACAACCTGTTACGCTGCGCACTGAACGCATCCAGCAGCTACCGTGAGCTTGGCTGGCCCTTTCGGTTTAACGATCGTGTCAACGTCCAGCGCTGCAGAATTTGGACGGATTTACTTTCGCCTGGGGTTAAGTCATACTGAGATCTTGCACTTTTTAGCAAATGTGAACATAATCGTTACAAGCATGAGGACCAGCTTTGTGGGATTTAGAGATCAAAGCAATGATGGTTCCGTTATGAACAGTTATACGTGCAATCAATTCCACTGCTTAAAACTGCAAGTCCGCACGTAGCGATACAGGTATAATATGACGATTGTGCTATCGCGTGATCACATGAAGTACGCGAAAATACTCGTAATTACGAGATAAGGAACAATTAATAGGTTTATTAAGGCTCCCCACCCGAACTATTACGAGATAAGGGCGAGGATGTGTTTCCGTACTTATGTGTTCCAAACTCCAGAGAAAAAAATGTTTTAAATGATTTCTTTACCAAATAAACAGACAAACTGCACTTCCAGCCTGACCGCTCGGGCTCAACCCAGTTTGATAACCGGCAGGCAGGTTCCGTGATGAGTCTCTCCTTACAGTTACCCGAAACACGCGTCTCAAACGCTACAGGTGCAGGACGTGCGCCTCGTTAATAATACGACACGCCTCTTGTTAGTCACGCCCCTTCATTAATATTCATGCTGTCGGTTCGTGTTCCTTCTTTTCTTTGGTTTTACGTTTGTGTTAAAATAATGTTAACAAGAAAACAAGACAGAACTCGGAATTCTTTATTTAGTGTTGCAGCATATTAATCAAAGACTGTTGGTTACAATGAGTTACAGAAAATACAGAGCACGTTACAGAATCACAAGTAACCGCGTCTGTGATGGTGATTTTCCTTTCCAGCCGCAGCAGTCTGGTCGGTGCGGGATGGGTTCTGTCCGGGCGGCAGGGACAGCAGCCAGGCGAGACCTGAAACACAAGAAAAACAGGTAAGTGACAGCGACAGCAGGCAGATGCAGTGAGGAGAGAGGCAGAGGAGCACAGGGAGTCACTCGGCGGTACAGCGCACCTCGCTTTGCGGGACACGGGCTCGTCTTACTGTCGGGAAAAGTGAAACTAAGGCTGAATGGTTCTGACCTTCAGACGGTCTCCTTCATGGGACGGGTGATGCTGACGCTATATTTTTGATGCAGGGGTAGAAGCCACACGACTTACGTTTTATTAATTTTAACATTCACTCATATCTAAGGTCAGTGAGTTTTACAGAGACGCGGTTTGTTTGTGTGACCTGGGTTGTGGTTCTAATGTTATATGATTTATAATATTTAGTTCTACGCGCACCAGCATTCTGCTCGTTTTAGGTCTGTCTTGGCTTTCTGAAAATAATGTTGCGCTTTAAGCAATCTGTATGACCCGGGGTCCCACAAAGCAAGGTGTGGCTCCAGTGTACCGACATCACATCTGTCCCAGAACACTGCGGCTGAGCACTAGATCATACATGGGATCCAGGCTGTTGGAGAAGATTGGTTATAGAATAATCGAGCTCTAGTGAACTACAGGTAAGGGGCTGTTCCTACTACTCAAGTGCTCCAGATGATGAGATCTAGGTCTCAGTTTGCTCCCGCGCACAGGGACCTCAGATTCACAACAAATCATGTCAACCCCCTGCATTTGTTAAATACAGCAGGACTCGGCCTACGTCTAGACACAGTACCCACCACCAATGAACCACAACTTTACAGTCAAGCAATTTTTATTTGTGAGCAGGAGATGAATGAATCCAGTAGATCACAGTTCTGGAATTGAATGCACACACTTGATCATATTCAAGTACAAACAGTTCAACTCTGCCATTTCAAACAGGAAAGATCGGGACACATGGGGTTGTAGATCCCTTTGAGGCAATAACTGACTGCCGTCTGGACCCAATGAGCTCACTGTTCTCTGTGTGATCTGAGACACTTTGCAGCTACAGAGGTGTCTATTCTAGAGGTTTAGGGCTTGTGTGTTCTTTACTATATACACTGCTGCTCTGGTGGAGTGAGATGTGGAGTGCAGCTTGGCCAGTACCAGACTGTTCACTTTTCTCGTGCTGACCTGACTGGGGTGTTCCTGATGCAGACCGGTGTTACAAATCCCCACCGTTTAGCTCTCACCTTAAGTAATCCAGAACATTAGTATTGATATAGGAAAATGTACATAAAATAGAGTTATAGAGTCAAAAAATGTCAGATTAATTGTGCATGTCAGCATTCATGACCTGAAGAAGCTGTGGACGTGAAACTTTTTTTTCCTCTTTTCTGCAGGAATGAACTTCTGCAGCTCTGACCTCGAACTGCAATAAAATAACTAGAAGACAATAGAAAATACATTTAAGCAGCGTTTTCTTCTTCGTTAGTAGTAACAGTATCACTTTGCTGTTTCTTGAAGCTCAATTTAGATTGTAAAACTCAAACTTCTACACAGACCCACAGAGCACTTTGTGGTCCAGAGCCCTGCAGCCTCGCAGTGTCCTGGGACAGATGTCATTTCACTACTGGGCAGATGTTTTCATTTAAAAATCTTACTTGCTAATGAGAATATTCTCGACACAGTGTCTTCATGTCTCGTCTCTTATTCTCTGAAGCAGC